ATGGACTGTCTTTCTTTCTGCTTGTATTTATATTTCTGCTGCTCAGCACAGTGTCTGGAACATTGTAGGTGCTTAATAAATACTTGTTGCCATGAAAATAGAGGCTATATGATAATGGAAACAGCTGGATGGCATTGGTGGCAGATAGAGCATCAGGCTTGGAGTCAGGAAGACCAGTGTTCGAATCCTGTCTCAGACATTTACTGTCTCTGTGCATTGGACAAGTTACTTCACTTCAGTTTGCCTCAGTCTCCTCATCTGTAAAACGGGGAGAATAATAGCACCTGACTCCCAGAGTTGTTGTGAAGATAAAATTAGATAATAATTGTAAATCATTTAACACAGTGCCTGGCACAGAGTAAGCACTATATAAATGTTAGGAGGAGGAAAAGGAGGAGGACTGTAGATTAATTTTCGATGTGCACCTTGCTTTAGTGAAGGATAATCTAATGATCTATGCATTTGCTGCATTATATGATCATGAGCCAACACTGGAGCAAATAATAGGTAGAAGCTGTTTGGTGTGCAAAATAGAAATAAGGAAAATGGTTAATGATAATTTTATAAGAATATGATTAAAGAATAGCAGGCCATGTGAAAATGATCTCAGGACTTTAATTGAACATAGCTTTAATATAGTGTTATGATGGTTAAGAAAGGCCATGTAATCTTAGTTGTCATTAATGAAATTTCAACATTCAGGTCATGACAGTGAATAGCCCCAGTAATATACCGGTAAGATGAGAAAGTGGCAAGGAAGCAACTCTTAGCAAAAGCCTCCTTAATTAAGTAATCAACATCTGGCATCTCATAGGCATTTTTTCTGATGGGGAAAACTTAAGCTCAAAGTTGTTTTTAGCACGGAATGTTCTATGGGCAGAGTTCAACTTGCAAAATTTGTTATTCGACAGAATGGTCTCTGCTTTACAGAAATGATAGCAACAGAAAGTATGACTAATTAGTCACCTCGTGCTAGTGGTAAAATTGGCAACATTATGATTTGACATAAGGTAATAATTGGAATAATTCCATTTGTTTAACAGTCTACATAGACACACACACAGACATAGATATACATGAGGCAGCATGGATAGAGAGCTGGGCTTGGAGTCAGGAGGACTTGAGTTCAGATCCCATCTCTGGCACATCCTGACTGTGTGACCTTGAGAAGGGCATTTAACCTTTTAGGACCTACATCCGGTAGCTAAGTGTACACCCTTTCATAGACACTTTGGCTTGGCAAAGTCCCTGGGAGCTTTTTGTTGCCTGGTAACCAAGCCCAAGCTTACAGCGCTTCTGTAGTACTGATTTATAGAAAGACCAAAAGAACAACTCTCAAATCCGTGAGGACTTTACCTAATTCTTACACAATTTTAAAAGGGTGAGGTGGTAACTTGTGCCTCAGTCATATCCTTCCGGCTGCTTGAGTATAAGTTTCATGAGGTCAGGAGACAGTTTCTTAACTGAACTTTGGATCCTACCCAAACATAGCCCACTTCTCTGTACACAATAGTTCCTTTAACAAGTGGCAGTTGGATTGAAAAACTGAGTTAAATATAACTTAGTTTATTTGAGAAATTCCAGTAGAATATCTTCATGGGTGGTGGTAGGGGATATCTGTGAGTACATGTGCATATATGTGGGTCCATATCCCAGCCCGTTTGTCTCTGGGTCCTCAGCACCCCGCCTAGGAGGCATTTGGGAAGTGGTGGTTGAGCTGAATATGACCAAACAGTGTGAATATTACTGTCATTTGAATATTTAATGCAGAGGAAGCTCATTTTTTCTCCTTTACAAATTATATATATATAGGTGGTATGACTAAAAGAGAGATTAAGTAACACAATTATGGATTGAATTTTAAAAAAAAGATATTCTAGGCCATGGCAATTCTGCTTCCTTCCTTCAGCAAGCAATTTCACTGCTTTCCCAAAGCTAAGTATTGCTCAAAGATGTCTGCAGTTAGGCTAGGCTACTTTAAAGCACAATCTTTCATCGTTCTGTGGGAATGCTTAGTTGATATGAGTTCTTCTGACTTAAGATGTTCCATTGAAGCTTCATTGTCCCCATGACTCAGAGTATTAGAAAATACTCTGGAGTCTCATTATATAGTTCTCCTTGGGGCCTATGCCATGAATATATATACCTTACAGGTGAGATTATGCATAACAAGGTGCTTTGGGAATTTCAGTAACTGAACCCCTCCCAATGAGATCTAAAATGGGTTTGTCTTACACTGTCTTCCACTTTTATAGTGAATAGTCTTATTTCAAAGTTCCAGTGCATACAGAGGGCTATATTTTTGTAGGTTACTAAAAGAAAAACCGGAAAAATGGATCATTTGTCATTATTTTTAAGGAGAAAATTTAACACTTATACTTCCCAGATGAACCAGGAGAGAAGCAGCTATTGGCTTGACTTGACTGAAACAAGATCAACTGAGCAATAAGAGGCACCCGTTGATGTGGGCAGAACATGTCATGGAGCATTGAGTGATTTCATGGACCATTGAGAAGCCAAACCCATAATTGCACTTCTCAGTTGCTCAGTTGATCTTGTTTCAGTCAAGTCAAGCCAATGGTTGCATGGCCATTCTCCCGAATGAAGCATAAGATAGAAAGTCTAATTTGAACACTGCCTACTGTATATAACAGGCAGTTTGCTTTGTGGATTTTAAATTTTTTCTCTTCTCTCCTCTTCAGTGTTTAGGACATGGTCAGTGCAAAACACCTCCTGCTGAAAATTGCAATGGATACGCTGTTTCAGATAGGAAAAAAAATGACTCTGAACGAATTGCAATCTGCTTCAGTTACATTCTTACTCAAATTTAACTGACACACAGACCACAAAGCATTCAGCTGGACCTCGGAATGAGATCAAAGAGCATTCTTTTATAGTTTGCCACAATTAAGCTGTTGCAGCTGCCTGACAGCTTGCGTTATCATACCAGCTTTCACACCCTCACTAAATAAATGCCAAGCAAAGGGGAGTGGGGGAGAATGAGAGTGATGTAAATGAGTCAGAAGGGAAATAGATATTTGTCTTCATCTGTGAATCACATGGCTATAACCTAATATTAATTTCTTTTTGGACTGTAGGCCCTGTGATGATGTGATTGTTTTAGATAACACATCACTTGCAGAGCTGCATTGTCTGCAGGAAGGCTGGTAGATGAGGTGAAGATGTAAATGATAAGTAGACATGATTTCTTTTGACCGATCACAGCTCTACTCTTGTTTTACTTTTAAGCCAGGAGGCCAGCTCCTAGCTTATCCTCATCATTCACTGAAGCTCTGATGTTAGCCTCAAATAAGGAAAATCACCAATCTGATCTGATTATTAATGACTCTCCACAAAAAGGCAAGGCAGACGTGCCCACCTTTCATGCTGCCTGCCCGGGTGTCAGTGCCCTTAAGGTTCCATAGGTGTTGATCATAACCAGGAATTGGTCATAACCTGCCAGGGGCAAATAAAACCTATTCCTGACTAAGGCAGGAACAGAGATTCTGATATACTAGAATGATTTCATGGTAACCTCAAGCTGCAGGGAGGTATATGGTCACTCAGGAGACTTTATTGGGGGTTGGGGGAGGGGCTAGGCAATTTTGTTTGGTGCCATTTTGTTAAGCTATTTGGATAAGGTATTCTGTGAGCAAGACAGCAGGATTTCTGGTCTGTTGCTTTTTTCTTCAGTTCTACCCCCTGAACTGAGGCTATATGAAGATGATGCTAAAAACAGCAATAATAACAAAAATAATATTTATATGGCACTTTATGGTTTGCTAACAACCCTGCAAAAGTGAGTGTTATAGATGACAAAGCTGAGCCAGATAGCAGTTAAATGGCTTCCCAGGGTCACACAGCTAGAAAGTGCCTGAGGCAGTATTTGAACTCATTTCTTCCTGACTCCAAGTCCAGTGCTCTATCCACTGCACCATCTAGCTGCCTATAGAATTGATAAGCATAATGAAAACTATTAGGAAATGGGGCTCTAACCAGAAAAGCTAGTGGTAGAGAAAATAGAAAGAATCTAGAAAATTCTTGAATCTGATGTTCTTTGCTACAATATGGTAATGATGTCTTTCGTGTTGATAGGAACCTCGGGCATATATTGGTCAAATCTTATTGCAGTGGTGAAAATTTTTTCTTTTTTGAGCGTCAAGAGTGATTTGGAAACTGTCCTTATTTGTATCTGTGTTTCATGCTGTTGATGGCATCAGAGGCTAATTCCTAGATCGTGTCAGATGTCTGCAGTTAGGAGATTCACTACTGTGATGATATCAGGAGCTCCATCCCTTGTTTCCCTTATTCTTAATGAGAGATTTCAAGTTATCCATTTGCTACAGATCAGCTGGACAGCCCCATGTTACCAGAATGTGACTGGGGGGTCATACACTGGGAAGGAGTCATAGGTGGTAAAAATAAATGGGAAAATCTGGAAGTATTCTGCTTTCTTTGCTTTTTCTCTTATTTTCTTATTTTTCTTTACTTAGACTATGTTTACATGGAAAATAATTATTGGTAACTCAAAGAAGTATGAAAGGGAAAAAAACCTTAAATTGTAAAATTTACATTGCAAGTGTCAAAGCAACTTGAAGTGATTTTAGTGAATGGCAAAGAAATAACTTATTACCACATTTAGCTTTATAATTAACGAAGTGACTACCTCTTCTTCCCTTCCCTCCCTGCCTCTACCTCTACCTGCCCACATCCATTCTCATGCTTATGCATGTTTGGTCTATTGGGTAGACAGCTGCCTTTGGTCAGGAAGAGCTGAGTTTGAGGCCTCCTTCTGACACATACTGTAGCTTTGTGATCCTGGGGCAATCACTTAATTTGCAAATTCCCCAGGCAACTTTCTTGACTAAGTGACAGAGAAGTTGCTGGGTGAAAGGGGGGAAGATTTCTATACTAGTGATTCCCAACATGATGAAATAATCGGTCTAGATAAAAAGTGTTTATATGTACATCCATGTGTGTCTGTACAACTTTCTTTTCAGGGCACATAGTCATCACCAACTACTTGCTGAACTATTTTCCTGGTCTTGACCTTGAAAGAAGGAATGTATTTGGGTACACAGCTCTGATGAAAGCTGCCATGCAAGGTCGGATTGAATGCATCCGCGCTTTAATGTTGGCAGGTATGTGGTAATCTCCACTTTGGTAGGTTCTCATCTCTTGCACTCTCCACAGGGTCAGGGGACAGTTAAAATTGTGTTTTTTATTCGAAGATATCCAGGTGTTAATGTACAGTTAGTGTGTTAACAAAGCCCTGTTTACAAATGTCAGTAGTCTTGGAGAGCATTTTATTTTGTGAGGTTTACTGTCACCCCAATCCAAATAAACAAAAAGAAAAAGCTATTAAAAATTGCAGGTGTTCCAAAGTTAGTCTCATGCCATAGTTCCTGTCTACCATGGATCTTGGCTGCCTTCCTTCATATCTATACTGTCCACATATCCTCCTTCCTCAGGAGTTTGTGCCCTGATCCTGTTAACCACAAAGCTACTTGATATATCAAAGGTGAGGGTCTGGAGCAATCAGTGACTTTTAGGTTGGGATTAAATGAAAATTGAATACTCCAGGGATTCATGATTTCCGAGGCCTGCATCAAGTCATGTCTATGAGCATTTACTAATCACCTACCGCATTCCAGGAGCTGGCAATATAAATACAACAGTAAGAAAAACCCTCAAGGACGTTACAATATTATGAGAGAAGTCTACAGTAAAAGGAAGATGAAAAGAATTGAAGGTACCAGGTGAGGGGCAGCATGGTAGAGTAAGTCCTATGGAGTTAGCAGTGTATCCTGGAGAGGAAGGAAGACAGATTAACCTGGGTGCCTCCTTAATATGAGATTCCAGGAGAAAATAGTCAGAGGGAGAAGCCACAGGGATAGAGAATACTTTCATTCTGAGAAATAATGCAGAAGTGAAGAGCTTCCAAAGAGGTGGAAATGACTCTGCTCCCTCTGCTAGACCAAGCCTTCTCTATGTGTTAGTAGAATAGTTTTTATGAGTTGCTGTGGCTAAAGAATTTTACATTCTCAATTAAAAATTTGGTTCAGCAATCATATCAAGGCAGGTTTTTGTTTTGTTTTGTTTTTTTAAAGAGAATTGTTGGGGCAGCTAGGTGGTACAGTAGGTAGAGCTCCGGCCTTGGACCTGAGTTCAAATGCGGCCTCAGACACTTGACACTTACTAGCTGTGTGACCCTGGGCAAGTCATTTAATCCGTAGAGAGAGAGAATTGTTATTCATTTATAATAATTTGATTTTGATATTCTGAACTTAGCAAATGCCAGCAAATAATAGCAGTTCCATTTACAGAGAACAGAAAAAAGAGCACTGTGTATGAAACTGAATCTCTAATTTGTATAGCTTGAGTTTTTTAAAAGTGTATTAAATATATATGTGAAACACCTTTGTTTCAAAGTTGACCTGCTTATCTTTGTCTCCCTCAAAACTTTGTTAATTTCTGTGCATTAAAAAAAATGCTTCAATGACATTCCCCTCCCATAGCACTATTACTACCTCTCCTCCACATCCCTTATATAACCTTTCTGTCATGCCAAAGAATCATCATCTAGTGCATACTACCCCCCACTCCCAAGTCGCACATTGTCTATATACAGAAATGTACATCTCATTCTGCTCCTTAAATTTATCACCTCTGTTTGTCAGGGTTGCATGTTTAATCGTTTCCTTTAGTAAAGTTCTACTCCGATGTTTAAATCCACCATGGGATGACCCTGGGTTCTCAAGTTACGTTTAGTGGAGCACAAACTCTCCCAGGTCCTAACAAGATGGAAAGGCTTTGACCTTCCTTGGTTTCAGCTCCTTCATCTGCGAAATGAAGGTGTTGGATTAGATGACCTCTGTGGAGGTGCCTTCTGAGTCTAAATCTGTGAATACCAGCTTGACGATAGGCTTGTCTGTTGTCCAAGGAGCAGCCTGGCTAAGTTTGGAGAGACTCACTACCAGAATGTGAAGCACCTGGTGATCACTTTTTAAAGTTCTCTGAAGACTGTCTTCTATGATGTAGAAAGGTTGTCATACATATCGGATGAAATGATGGATGTTTGTAATGATGATGAGGATGATGATAATAATAATAATAGCTCTTTAAGGTTTGCAAAATGTTTTACAAATATCTCATTTGAGATAACAACACAACAACCTTGGAAGGTAGATGTAATTATTATTACCATCTCCATTTTACAGATAAGGAAACTTGAGCTAAAAGGAGGTTAAGTGATTTGCTGAAGATCACAGCTATTAAGTGTCTGAGGTAGAATTTGAACACAGGTCTTCCTGTGGAACTGAATCTGAATTTTTAACTTTTTTGACCAATTGCTTCTAAAGCTTTTAGTGTATTGCTGATGGAAAGAGGACCCATGTCTTAGCTCCAGATACATTATCTGCCATGCTGCATCAGTAAGTGCTTCAGGTATCTTGGCATCTTGGTTCACCAATCATGAGATAGGAGTTTTTAAAAATGAATTAATTGAAAGTATATTTGAAAGATGAGTTCAAATTTTGTCTTTAATACAAAGTGTCTGAAAAATGTGAGTTTGGTATTTAAGGTTCAGATTCCTTCTCTTTCTCCATCTTCTGGGGAGAAATAATTAGTCTGGAATATTGTGCTGTGTTTATTTCATCTCCAGTTTTATCAGTGGTTATCAGATCACCTTGATGAAGTATTAACAACTGCTTTTCTAATTGGTGGCAATAGAGTTGATCTTATCAGTAAAAGTAGTAAAGCATCTCTCCCTGATTTTTCTGTATTAATTCCCCATCTTATTCTATATTCTCCAAACAACCAAAAAAGTATACTATTGTAGGGGATTTTATCTGCTTCAGTCTCAGGGTTTGGATTCCACCAATTATTTATCTTCAATATTAAATAAGGATAAGGACTAGACCTGTAATTTTGTTAGAACAAGGAATTCCTACATAATGAAACTCCTATTTATCTTTTCTCAAATGAGAGAATATTTGTTAAAAAATAAAAAAGTGCTCAGCACAGTCCCTGGCACATATAATATTATTATTTGTAATGTCTATTCCTTTTTCCTCCCCGTAGTAGTGCAGATCAGCACTCAGAGTCATTAAGAGGTTAAGTATCTTGCCTAAGATCTAGTATGTGTCAGAGGTATGAGTGTAGTCCATATCTTCATGGCTCCAAGGCTGGCTCTATATACTATACCATACTTCAGTCTTAAGAAAAGGAAATTGAGGGACAGCTAGGTGGTGCAGTGGATAGAGCACCGGCCCTGAAGTCAGGAGGACCTGAGTTCAAATCCGGCCTCAGACCACACAGTTGACACTTACTAGCTGTGTGACCCTGGGCAAGTCACTTAACCCCAACTGCCTAAAAAAACAAAACAAAACAAGAAAAAGGAAATTGAATGGGCAGCTAGCTGGTACAGTGGATAGAGCACCAGCTCTGGATTCAGGAGGACCTGAGTTCAAATCTGGACTCAGAAACATAACACTTAGTAGCTGTGTGTCCCTGGGCAAGTCACTTAACCCCACTGCCTAAAATAACAACAACAACAACAAAAAGGAAATTGATGATGATAGTTTCCAGTCCTGGGGTTTTTGTTGTTGTTAATAACATTTTATTCCTTGCGGCTTAAACTTCAGTGTTTGCACTTTTGAGATATATATATATATATATGTCTTTTTGAGATATAACTTTGACCAAGAAAATATGATCATTGTGAGACTGTAATTAGAGAATTGAAAGACACAGGAGTACCTCCATATTGAAAGTTAAGGTGGAAATATATTTCGCCTTCCACATTCCTTTGTGAGCTGAATTTTTCTAGCCCCAATTTCATTATATTCAACAAGAATGGTATTTCTTCTCCCCCACTCCCCTTGCCTTTTTTTTTTAACAAATGATGTATTGTTTATCAGATTGCCTTTCCTCTCAAATTGCTAACATCTTCATAGAGTATATAACAGAGTCACACATCAATAACTGCTTTTATCTGCTCTGATCAAGCAGAACAAAGAGATATTAGAAATTTCAGAAACTCTGGAATTTAATAATAAAAAATTATAGTTCAATAAAGGACTTTTCTCTCTCCAAGGTTCGGAAATTCTGATTTATTGGAACTTTGTTACTGTGGCTACTAAGGACAAACACATCAGCCATGCCAGCTGTGCTGATTATAATCTCAAGGGATGTGAAACCTTATTAATTTGATAGAATATTAATATTCTCAAAATGACAGGTCGGTTTAAATAAGTTGCCCTGAGAAGCTGTATTCAGAACATGATTTTATCTACATAAAAACATAACTCAGTGGTGATACTTGTTTTTCCTTTTTAAGAAGAAGCTTCAGGGCTCAGTTTCAAACCTGAATGGCATATACCGAGTAAGGTGGAACTGTTGTGACATTTGAGGAAAACAAAGGAAGAACATCTTTGAATATTCATGTCCATCCTACTTCATAAAGTTGATACAGATGTGGGTGAGTGAAGAATTGTAATGATGAACAGGGCCTAGTCACTCATACACTATCCTGGCCTCAGGTAACTCCAGACTGCTTGCTTTCATGAAGCCAAATTAGACTCTCAGATGAAAATCCAGATTTCTTTCTGCTCCATACCCTTATTTCCTTTGTGTTAATATACATAGTACAGATTGCATCTTGGATTTTCTCAACAAGAGCACACAATAAACAGAAAATAGTGGTAGAAATGTAACATGTAGTAAGTCAGGTTTCAGTGAGTAAGTGTAGATGTTTTCTCCAAACATAAGACTAATCACCTCTTAATCTGGAAAACTCTGGGCCTAGCTTTCATTGAAAACCACAGGAGGACTTGGAGTACAGTGGTGAGGTCCATAAGGGTAAGACTACGTTAAGAATCAGTGAACATGGATGCTGTTTTAGTATTCGTTCAGTCTCAAGCAGTTGATTACAAGACAAGTCCTTTTACGTGTTAACACTGACATGGTTGAAAGGCAGTAGCTTTGATGCCAGCAGTTTTGCTAACAGGTTTTTTTGATGGTTAAAAAAGAAATTTAGTCATACTTTCAAAGAGCTCATAGGATAGAGTTAAAATGGGCCTTTATAGTAATCAGGCTGTCTTCTGTTATTTTCCAAAATGAGGAAACTGAGTTTTCAGGA